GAAGATTTTCTTGAGGGGTAATCTATTTGTTTTCTTGGTATCTTGGGTACTATTGGTTGCAGTTTTCGATCTGGGTAGGGATTTTTGGTCGTCTAAGAGTAACCATAGTTTCTATCACGCTGCGTTCAACTACCTCCTCCCTTAATCTTTAATTTTATTCATCAAAGCCATCTCTCCTCGTCTCTCTCCGGGTCTCACTCGGGTTTGACCAGGTGGACCAGGTCCCAGGTTGACCCTCCAAGTCGACCGGGTTTCTCCGGGCCAATTCTCAAGCGGGTTTTTGCCTTCACCCGGACCGGTCCCAGGCCCAGGTTAGCCGGGTCCCGGGTCGACCCTCCAGGCCGGTCCGGATTTTAAAACTCTGATTTCATAATCAAACTTTTTATCATACTATTTTATTTTATAAACTCTAAGTTGTTTAAAAAAAATAACTTTCAATCAAAATGGTTCTTTATCAAGAGGCAGAGGATTTTGGCTAAAGAATAACAAAAAAGGTAGTGTAATTAAAAGCCTCAAGTTAGTCTATTTTTGAACCAATTAGTCCAATCTTATTCTATTACTATAACTAGGTCTTATTCTATTACTATAGCTAGGTCTGATGTTGATAAAGTAAATGCTAAGTTGAGAATGAGATACTTAGCTAGACTTCCTTTTTCTCATAAAAAAATTAGTAGGGGAATTGAGAGTGTTATACATGAGGAGTTAGAGATAATTATTTTCTTATGTTTATTTAAATATAGATATGAAATATCCCTTGATGACTTTATTCATGATGTATGCTTCATTTATGGCATAAGTTTGAGCTAGCTACACCTGAATAAGTAGCTAATCAAATTCATGAAATGTCTTGAAAAAAATCTATTAATACACCCACGCGCTCACACTTACACACACACACACATGTATTGTTAGGGTGTGCAGATGAATCTTAAAATATAATATGGTTTTATACTTTCTATATGTATGCCATTGATCCTTTAAGGAAAAATTTCTAGAAAAAAAATAAATTTTTATGAAAAAATAAAAGAGATAATAGATCATAGTCAAATACACATTACCTATCTTCTTTTCTAATCCATAAGAGGCATAAAAAGTCCTTCATCAAAGAGAGTTCTTAGAAGGCAGTATCACATTATACTTCATCTAACTAGTGCTGGGAGGTTATTATGTAATCAACTACGACATAGCCTTAATCAATGTAACACCTTACTCCTAACTAAAGGATATTTCTTATAGGATAGTAAGTAAGGAATGTAGATGATTTAACTTTTTATTTATCTTTGTTTTTCATTATTATAATTTTGTTTAATATGTTCTGATTTGTGATAACAAACGATCTTGTATCTATAAGAAAAGTGAGGAGATATGCGCCTAAATCCCTTATATTCTCTTATGCTAACCTTTTCTTTAATTAAAACTACTACAATTGATACTATGCATGCATCTCATTACTTTATGATTGGTTTTCGTTTTCAACCTCAAGATTAACTATTAGGCTATGTAACTCCTACTTACCCACTTGGATGAGAGAAGAGAGAGATGTCATAAGGGTATTGCTTGGAGACAACCTTTATATAATTGGGGTAAACAATATAAACATGATAAATGAATTCATATAGATGTTATAATTCCTAGAAGACTTAAAGCAACTAGGATGCAAAAGTAGTTTTTATGATCATTTGGCATGTACTGAGAAGATAAATTGTCTTGTGAGTATCATTAATGCTACACTATGTAATGCTTTATATTTATCTTGTCATTTTTATACTTATATTATATGGTTTCTTCATAGATTGTTTAATTGTAGGTGTTAGTTGCTAAGTGATACGAGGTTAAGTGCAAGTAAATAACTTGATCTTTTAATATGACATATAAATATTATAGAAAACTTCAAGCATTAAAGCAACACAGACACATATAAAAGGCATACACCACAAGCTAGAATTGATATATAACATTATCATTTAGGAGAAAGATTCATACATAGTGGATTTCGTGGCTCTTTTAAAAGAGATAACGTAACTTAGATAAGAGCTTGTAGTTGTTGATAAAATATCATAAAGTTAGAGTTTGCTCTTATTGAGGTTAAAAGTAGATTTGATCATGCCTATACTAAATTGGCTTGTATGCAAAACCTTGGGAACATCTTTGAAGATTTTTAAATGGTATATAAAGGAAATAATGCTTTAAAAACCATGGTAAAGGATCAATTAATGAATATAATGAGTGATCTCCACTTTTATAATAGATAAAAAGATTTTAATATGGACTTTACCTCACTTTTCCACATATGTAATGTTCCTTACTTTGATAGAGGTCAGCACTTAATATAGGAGCTTCATAAAGAGCAAAGCGAGTTATTCAGGCTAATAAAAACTAGTTTTTTCTTTGTGTTTATATAACATTTTTGTCCTAATCCTACCGAGTTTGAGTTCCCTATACTAGATATTTCCTTGAGAAAATCTCATGTAACAAGTGAGGAAAATTTCAAATGGATTTAGGTTTCCCACATTTGCTTAATGGGCAGATGTTTTTAAGTTAGTAATATTTTATGTTCTCTTATAAAATAAATTTTCTATATAGTTATAAGATGCTTTGATGCTTAAGTGAGTGAAATGAGGTAGGAGAGTAATGTATGAAAGGAGAATAATAAAAAATATAGAAAAATGATTTTTAAAGAATTTCTATATGTGTGCCTAGTAATCCTTAGGTATCTATATACCTTAAATCACATGAATTCATCCTTGCAAGGATAGTGTTATATGTCTACTGTACATTTGAATTAAGAATTGATTTTCTAGATGTGATTTAGGAATTGAGAATGGATATCCTTTCTTGTATAGTATAAAAGTTATTGAACCTTGTGTTGATTTATAAGAAAAGGAAAGAAGAAAAAATTATTGCAAGAGAAATTAGGATAAAGGGAACTGATTTGAATTTGGGGGAAGATGATTGTTAGAAAAGATGATGTTTGTGTAAAACGCACCGTTTAACTTGTTTAGAAACGCATCGCTTAATTTAGTTCCTTTTGTTCTAGAAGAAGGGATACATAGATTTATTGCAAGTCAAATTGTAGCAAATGGCATAGCCGTTACTTGTCCTTGTATAGAACCAATTTGGCAAAGAATAAGGAAGCAAGAATTATAGAATAACAATGGGGACACTCACTCGCAGACACTCTCTCTCTCTCTCTTCCTTAATTGATACCAGCTGCTTATCCCTGCATCATTCCTCATTTTCATTACTGGCATTTTCTGTTAAAAGCCATGTTCCTCAAAAAAAGCTCCGAAGAAACCCAAGTTGGTGCAATCTCATTTCAGCCTCCACCAGCATTCGTTTTGTAATCGTCGTTAAGAATTGAATTTCTCCATGTTTAATTGGACCTGAGAAATAATGACATTAATTCAAGAAACAAACCCAATTCTTGTCTCCATATGATTTTCTTTCTCAAATTATATATTACCATTAGTTTTATTTTAGAACAATCCATCTAAATACGTATTAGTTTTTCAATGATGATTATATTAGTTCAAAGGGATATTGGAATGGAAGATGAGGCGTCGAAGTCACTCTTTTCTAAAACTTTAGATTATTTTTTTTTATTTCTTCTTCTTTTTCTTTATTAAAATGAAAACAAGAAAAATTGTATGTGTGTGTGTATATATTACAAATTGATAAAATGTCAAGTAATTTCGATAGAATGAAATCTGGAAAGTAACTCCATCTTTTTCTTTGGATAGTGAATATCTCTTGAAAGCTTCATATCAGGCCTGGAGCAATGAGTGCTGATGTGGATGTGCAGGCTTGCTACAGAGGAGACAGCATATATAATAAATCTCTTGGGACAAAGTTAGGTGGTATTTAATTAAAAGGCACATAGAGGACCTAGAGATATTAATTTTAAAAATGAAAAGCAAAATAGGAGGCAAAGGTACTATTCATAGGGAGAAATATTGCATGCGAACTAATTTTTTTGTATTCTCTTTAATTATATATCGATCCTTTATATATATATGAGATGTATGTATATATATTAAAAAAAAAGTAGTACATACATCTCATATATATATATATATATTAAAAAAAAAAGAGTAGTACATACATCTCATAGAGAAGACTAATTAAAATTAATGCGAGAAGTTAAATTTCAAAGTTTTTTATCTTTTCTTTTCCTCCTTCTAATTAATTATGTAGTTGAACTGATAGGCAACACTCTCTCAGCCTTCGGGGAGATTAGGTGAGAGTGAGTCTCTTCAACCATTTTCGAAGTTCAAAAGCAGCACACTACCTGGAAAACACAAAGTTCTAAAATAAAGAAAGGAAAAGAAAAAAAAACTCTTGAAAACATAGGTCTATTGAATTGAAATTAACTAGGTTTTTCTCAAGTTTTCATATATATGAAAACAAAAAAACAAAAACAAAAACTAATGGAACAGGAAAGGCTACAAGAGTTACCAGTGCCATACATTACAACATGCTTTATTATGTCTTCTAGCACGACGAGCATCCATCACATTTCCCAGTTTTTCAAGCATTTCCTCTTCGGTGAATATCCTTCCCGGTGAGCTCAAGAATGCGCTTCTTCTAATGGGAGGAGACCATATTCCACTTTGCTCGTAATCAAAATCATACTCAGTTGCATCAAAAAATTTGTCGAGAAGTCGGTCAGAAACAAACTTAGACACTATCTGAATTCTTTTAGGAGAGGAAGATGACTCAGGCAATGAAGGTGAAGATGAGCATTTGGAGATATCCATTTGATAAAAAAGAAAGAAACAAAGGTACTCAAAATGAGAGAATTATAACAAGATAACACATGTATGTGTGAGATTGATGAAGCTGAGATGGAGACAGCATTTCTAGGAGGGGGGGACTAATGCAAGTGATGGTGATGGTGGGTGCTATGACAAAGACGTGTATGGCTGTATGCAATCATGGAGATGTCATGGGCTAGCACGACTAAACGTTGTTATTTGGTGCCCTGCATACCAAACGCAAGGTTTAGGGAACCTGAACCATTTTGGCTGGTGACATTTTTTAAGCTTGAAAAAGTTCATTTTATTTTATATCATGAGGTACATATTCCTTTTGTGGACCCTATTACAGCCATTCATGCTCAAGGGCTTGATCCATGTTTATTGGAACGCAAAATCCATATATTTAACTTGTGGATTTTACCTGGAATTCAAGCTCTGTGCATGCATGTGTTAGGTTGTCGATACATTATCATCTAGAGAAGTGACATGTTAACAGAGAACACTCCTACCTATGCTGAAAAATTAAGCCTTAATTTTACTCGGCAATTGAAGCTTCCGATATCCACCCCAAGAGGCCTAGGGAAGATTTTTGTTTTCTAATCAAGGTTATTAATTTTATTTTGTTTTGTTTGAAATAACTGAAATATTTTATACTAATTTATAAAATAAAATAAAATAATTTTTATTTTATTTTAAATCTCAGTCCATTCTAGATTTTTCAGCTAAATTTCAATTAAAATGTTCCGGTTTCATTTTATATGTTCCATTCTGGTTTTAAAAAGTTATTGAATTAAATTGAATCTAGTTCAATTTAATTAATTAAACCGTTCAAATATAAAAAACTATTTTTCAATATTGTTTTCAATAACAATGATATTAATAATAATATTAAAAATTATTTTTATTATTTTTATTAACAATAATATCAATTTTTTTAAAATTAAATTTATCACTAATATATATAGTTTATATTCATGTTGTTTTTTCATGTTTATATTTTATAAGAATTTGAACGAAATAAGAGATGCTTTAGATTTCATTAGCCTTAATAATATTGACCTAACTTTATATTTAAAATATTTGTATTAAAACATTTTACTTTCATAATATTTTAATATTTTTTTTAAGTTAAATTTTTTTAAGTTAAAGCTCTATTTAATCATGACTATTTAGAAATATTTTACATTTTGAAATTATATTTATTTAACATTGGATTTGTATTGCATAATTTATAATAAATTTATCTTGAATTTTAAGTATATTTGTTGAATTTTGATATTTTATTGAATTACTTTAAGTTAGGAATCTTTCAGTTTTGGAGTGTTTTGACGTGTTGTTTTGGGTTTGTATTGTTTATATTTTATTCTTAAAATTAGATGTTTTTGGATCTTTTAAAAGTCTAACATATATATATATATATGAAAATAAATTTTAGTTTTTTTTTTTCATGTAAGTTTCTAGTGATCCTACATTTGCAGGACTCAAACTGGTGATTTTTGAAAAGCAAATTTAAGACCTGACAAGTTGAACTACACCCTTCATGATAATCTTAGTTAAGGTGTTGGAGACAAATTTCAGGCTAAGACAAATCTTAACTCAATCTTTATTTTTATTTTTTTATTAATATGGATGTTCGGATTAACTTATGCGTATAAAGTTAACGATCATATAAGCCTCTAATATCCTTAAGATTTATAGAACTCAAACTAGTAATTTTTAGAAAATAAATTTAAAACCTTACCAATTCACCGGTTAACCCAAATTTAATTAGACCGGCCGGTGTTGGCATATTCTATTATTATTATTATTATTATTATTATGAAAAGAGAAGATAAGTGTAAGATTTCTATTTTTAAATCAATTTTAATTTTAGTCTAATCCTCGAACTCATGATAGCATGTCGACTGCCAAATGTTGGTCTGCATCGAGAACAATTTTTTTAATGCAGATAACGATATCGCATTGCCAATAGCCTCAAAATTACAACTTTCATTCAAAAGCATTATCATATTTAATTTAAATGGAATTTATTGACTTTTTTTTTCATCTCACGGTCTAAGAATTGAAATCAACTTCATGCATGTGGCACTATGCTGTCATTTCTGACGAGCATGGTGGACATGCCGCAAGTGATGTTAACAGTTAGCGTGGATCATGGTTACTTAAGCTACCACAATTCTAGAGATATATTATATTTTTTTCTCTATTAATTTGACATTTTTTTATACTAATTTTTTATTTTCATTATGTTAGGGTTAAGGATTAGAGTTTTCTAGGTTAATTTAGAATTTTGTTGAATTAAATATAAATTATATTAATTAACTATAAAATACATTAATTGAGTGCTGATACGCTTCAAAAGCCCTGAAAATGCTATGAGTTGTTCGGAAATCATTGGAGTTGTTGAATAGAAAGATCATCATGACTATGAATAAGCTCGAATTGATGGGAAAATAGGGTGGAACAAGATTCATGGGAAGAAATGATTTTTTTCTAGCTTCTGCTGCCATCACTTAAAAATCTAGAAGAAGCCCACGTCATAATTTCAATACAACTTTCGCATGAAAGATCCATCCATGTTTTTTTTAATTAAAAATGTATAATAATCAAACTCGACATTCACATGTTTTTTTTTTTAATGTTTTAAATATTAAATTTTGTATTCTAAGACTAAACCTTCCAAATCAGGTTTTAATTATCCCATTCATATTCAAACTAATACAATCACAAGAGTTTACTTCTCAGTCTTTTCTAAATGATAACCTGTAGAGCAAATCCAATTATAACGTATTAAAGGACCATAATTTGCTTTACTGTTTGCTATGTGATTTTTTAAAAATGTTTTTTATTTTAAAATAAATTAAAATTATTTTTTTATTTTTTTATTTTTAACATAAACACATCATAGACATAAAGAACACTAAAAAAATAATTTTTATTTTATATTTTTTTCAAGATAAATACGTTTAAAATGCAATATTACACTCAGATCCATTTACAAATGGAGAAGAAGGCTTTCGAAAAAAATTAATATTTTTATTTTAAATTAATTTTATTTGATGTTTATGCATCATTTTGGTGTACAAATATTAAAAATAGATTTAATATATATATATTATTTTCATCTATTTCCAATAAAAAAACATTTAAAAAAACAATTCCTGCCTAGATATCAAACAATACATAAATATCAGATAAACAACACAATTTGCAAAGAACGATTATTAGCTGATTGGGTGGTGTCGTAACTCCTGAACAGTCTTATCCATTTCTTGCCAGGAAATATTTTATATTTTTTTATATAAAAAATAAGTACAGGTTTGATAACGATAAGTGTAATACTTCATTGCTAATCAAGCTCTTTGTCAACTAGAACAGTAGAAGAAAAGGCTCAAGATCAAAATAAAAGCAATCCGCCGATCTCCTATGGTTGGCATCTTTGAGAAACTTTTACACAATAATGGTGTGCATTTAAACAGACGCAGCATATCAAACCAGCTACATCTCCTAAACAAATATAATAGTCGGATTAAAATCCTAGCTTGAACAGCACCCTACCGTCTTCATAGCGGAAACATCTTTATTGACGTCGATTTTCTCACCTTTGGATGGAACAGCTGAAGCTGCTGCATTGTCACCTGTCTCCATAGCTTTCTTGCTCACGATACGATAGATCTGATTAAGAACTTCAGCAAATGCATTGTCAACATTAGTTGCTTCCAAAGCAGATGTTTCCATGAAGTAGAGGGACTCCCTCTCAGCAAAGGATTTTCCATCCTCAGTTGAGACAGCCACCAGGTGGCGAAGATCTGATTTATTGCCAATGAGCATGACAACAATGTTAGGATCTGTATGATCCCTCAACTCCCTTAGCCACCTTTCAACATTTTCAAATGTTGAGTGCCGGGTAACATCATACACAAGCAATGCACCCACTGCTCCCCGGTAATAAGCACTAGTTATGGCACGGTACCTATAAACACAAACAATAAGTTCAGAAAACATGTCAGTGGAAGAGAGAGCAGGTGATTCATTGAGTATAAAATTGCAAAATCAGAACTTGTTGCACCCCAATGAAGAAAAAAAAACATTGCCAACCTAGCTTAGACATATATAGCCAGCCTAAACACGCTTGACATCTATCAGCTCATTATAGAGGAACAACAGCAAATGCTTTCATGGTAAATCTAAAGACTCAGCCCCAATGGGCAGCCTCATGAATCCCTCTGCTATGCATGGTTGTCCAAAGATCAGATGTTAATCCTATAAAAATACTCCTTTTTATATTATGGAATTGACTCAGTGCCCAAAGACCACATAATTCATTTCCAGAAAAAGAACGAAAAAAACAAGAGAGAGAGAGAGAGAGAGAGAACATTAAACCTTTAAGTCACATTCTGCCAAGTTGTTCCAGGTCTATGTCTACATCTACATGCCATATGGTGGTCAGTTCAAGGGAAAACCAATTTCAGTACACCAAAAACTGTTTTTCTTCTTTTTCCAGAAGATAAAGCACCATACAATTCATTTAACTTAATCATTATAGTGGTAAATGATTGGGAACCCAAGCTAAAGATCCTCAACAAAAAAAAATTATTTACCAGGCAACAGCAGGTTGATTTTGATAACACCAAGGCATGGGCATGGTGTGAATGGCAGCAGTAGATTGCAAGAGTAACCGATGAAGAAATATTAGCAACTATACTAAAAATGATTAAGCTTTAGTTATTCCTATTCAAAGCTTAGTAAAATACAAAACTGTCAAAAGCAATATGTTTCCCTTTTTTAACATTTTACTATTGGATTTGCAATTTCTGGCACCAAATTGCTATATGAAACACAGATTATTCAAATTCAAGCAAAAACATGGTTTAATAACACCAAACACATATTATTCAATTTCCAACTACTCAAGGATGGATTATATGAAATGGTCTTCAACATATAAAGATAGATTTAAGCTTGAATTTTAAACTTATTTTTTTCAATATTTAAGGTTCTTTACCTTTTTGTGAAATGTCTGCAAGATGTACTAGTGCATATTGCAAGCAAATCTAAGCTCTCATGTATAATTGTCTTAGTCTTTCTTCATCTGAATGTTTGGAAGTTAAATGTCATAGGATTTTGCAAGCCTAATATTTAAAATCACAAGTTAGATTGAGCTTAGATTCGTTTTTTAACTGTTTATTAGCTATGAGTCTTGCAATTTTGAACCTAAATAATTGCCTTTTAAAATAAGTTTTCAGAATTAAGTTGATAGGTAATCTCTTACATTTCTTTTTTTTTTTTTGTAATTAAATTGAGATTTAATATATATATATATAATTAACAGTAAAATTGTAGTATTATTCTATTAATTTTCATATTCAGGATTGTTTTCTTAATTAATATTTGAACTTACATGTTAAATTGTTTAGAATTTTTATCTTAAATATTCAAGAAATAGTTGAGATGTTGAAGTTTGGAACCAAAAGGTAGAACTTAATAATATCTAACTGATTCAGTTAGAAAATAGTTTAAGATGAATAATAGAGTAGAAGGGAACTTTCTAAACATAATATCCATAATTGCTACCACCTAGACAGTACAACTGTGGCATGTATCTGAACAAGCAGCGAGATCTCTGTCACATAACAGCCATTTTGTTAATTCCAGTTTACCACAACCTTATCACATCACCATCCACTGCCACCACAATATTAACTGAGAAAAGAGAATTGAATACATGAGATTGTTTAGCCATAAAATGCAACCATTGCATCAATCACTGCCAAATAATCATAAAACAGTATACTACCTCAACCTTTGCCTTTCTATCAATAATAGATTACACAAAGGTATACAACTGTGCTGCCCATGGATACAGTAAAAAGCTTTTCAACTTTCTTTATATGAAATTACAATGCTGTGTGTGATAAACAGTCACAGAAACATCAAAGGGCAGGAGCTTGGTAATGATTCTATAACATGCCTTGATCTCTGCATTTTGTTTGAGATCATCAATAAATGAAAATCTTCATATGCATTTTTTTATGTCTATCAACAAGGCAGCACATGTTGAACAAGAAAATAGATATAGGGCAGTCTAGGAAGCCAAATAACACATGTTAAACACAATTCGAAACTTGACTTCCTTCAACTTCAGCCATGGTCCATCCATAAACTTAAATCAGTATTATGCCAATTTGTAAGAAAACAGGGTTTTTTGTGTTATACTTCCTCAGCCCCATATTCCAACTTTGGTTGTCAAACTATGGAAAGAAACTTCATTGATTACTTTTTCTTCAGCATATATGTTCCAGACTTTCCTCTAATTCAAAGGAGTGCTACACCTTTGGTTGAAAACGGTTATGTGGGCAATCAAAATAACTTTTAGAATATCATATATTGGCATGAACCACGTTCAAGAAGCTAATAGATACAATGGAGGAACAGTTGACAGCGAGGACCAAGGAAGTAAGCTTTAAGGAGCATAATTAGTTTATTGCTGGCTTGCTAGTAGTCAGTAAGCAGAGATGGTGACTTGGATCTAAGAAAATCATGAAAATAGTTATTGGGTTTCATCTCCAACAGAATGTTCCAATAAACTAATTAGCATGTTTGGAAAGTAAGGATTTTGAAGAAGCTGATTGTGCAAACTGGTGCAGGATGTTAAATGACGACATATACATGGTCCAATCATGCATAATAAAGCACATGATAGTAACATGCAACAATATCAGTGAAAAAGCATGTTGAAAGAAAGTGACTGTAAGATAAAAGTCAAGGCTGCTCTGGCTGAAGAAAGTTGAAGCAGAACACACACCATAGACAAAGTCATGAAAACAATTACATATTGTATCCACTCAGACCTTAGGCTAAAGAAATTAAGAAATCCTACCCTCAATGCAGCTCCCGCAAGCAACTCAAAATTTCAACCCCGTCAATAAAATCAGTCCGCAAAACAAGAGGTGCGATAGCTACAACAATCCCAATCCATCTCTTGCATAGCATCGACAAAACAATCAATACCATGCAAAATTGCAGTGACTATTCCCAATCAAAAAGCTTGGCTAAACTCCTTTTCAGTCCAGCTCATTCTCAAAACTTTTTGATATAAAAATCAACATGGACACACATAATGTCTATGAAAGTTGCAAAATGTTAAGTTCCACTAGTTCAGGTTGCGAACCTAAGTCCAAATCCATCAATAACCATGATCATTATCTTAAAAGCAAAGCAAAAAACCCTAACTCTCCAACATAAACTTACAAGATCCAAAACCCAATTCACTATTCTTTTGCTCACTATCACAAATACACAAAAGCCTACTAACCAAGACCCGGAACACAAAACAGAGAATTAACTCAAAAACACGCATGAAACAATTAAAACCCATCCAAGAAATCACAAAAAGAAAAGCTCAATAACTTAAAAAACAAACAAAACACACAACATACCCAGATCACAAAAACAAAAGATAGCTTGAAAAAAAAAAACCCAGATCACAAAACACAAAAGAAGCAAAGAAATACCAACCTTTCTTGGCCAGCAGTGTCCCAAATCTGGGCCTTAATGACCTTGGAATCAACATTCAAGCTGCGAGTAGCGAACTCAACACCAATAGTAGACTTCGACTCCAAACTGAACTCATTACGAGTGAATCTTGAAAGAAGATTGGACTTGCCCACACCTGAGTCGCCAATAAGTACAACCTTGAACAGGTAATCATAGTCATCTTCGGCTCTGTACCCTGCCATTAGCAGTTGTCACACCACTAGTATTACGCTTGCTTTGCTTCAAAGAAGGAAAGCCCTGGAGAGACAGAAAGAGAGGATGAAAATGATGTCTTTTTTGTGAGTTTTCTTGCCTCCTATGGTATTGGGAGTTGGAAATGGAGGGGACTGCTGTCTCTCTCCCGCTCTCTGTCTCGGTGCTTTGCTGGGCTGGACTCCAAGTCCAGTTTTTTAAAATTGGAGAAAGTGTCGCCGGGTGGTGCTCACTATGTTAATCACGATTTAATCCTTACTAAATTATTGTAGGCACTATGTTATGGTTGGAATTAATTTTTTAATATAAAAAATATTTATAAACTATTAATATGTTTTTAATTAAAAAAATAAAATATGCAAGGATTGATATGATATAATGTAACTGACTTGATATATTCAAGAATACTCAAACAATTTATATATAGTTTAATTTAAAAAAAATTAGAATAATATTATTTTTAAAATATTAAAACGATATTATGTTAAATCTTATCAAATTCATTATGTATGTTATAATATTAGATAATCTTATAGAAAAAAATTATAAAAATTATAAAACTCAATTCTCAGTTATCCTAATTTTAAAGAATTAAAATAAAAAAAATAAAAAATAACATGAGTCAATTCGGTTAACCTACAAAACTTAAGTTAGAAGACAATGATAATTGCATAAAAAGAAAATTAAAAAAAATATAGAGAGAGAGTCCAATTTTCAATAAACTCAATATTAAAAAATAAAATTAAAAAACAATAATTAAAAAATAAACAAAAAAAAACATGAGTCAACAAGTCTAACCTATTAAATTTGTCACTCGGGTCATAAGACTATAATAACTTAATAGAAAGCAAATCAAAAAAATTATAAAGTTTAGTTTCAATTAATTCAATATTAAATGATAAAATTAAAAAATAGATTTATTAAAAAATAGATTAAAAAAATAACCTAAATGAATATAGCTAACTCATAAAACTTGTGACCTGAGTCATGAGACTGAAATAACAATATAGAAAACAAATCAAAACAAACTATGAAAACTTGTACCTAAAATTCTAATGTTGAGAGATGAAATTAAAAGAAATAAGAGTCCTAAAACATTTTGAGGACAAAAGTGAAAAATGTTAACTGAAAAGCCAAGCTCTTTTAGTATATGTTAACTAGATAAGTGATCGTCACAAATCCAATATTTTATTTTTAATAAAAAAATTAACATATAGAATTTTTTATATATAGAAAAATTATTTATAAATTGAAATTTGTATACACACATTTAATTAAATAAATTAATAGTTGATTAAGAGATAATTAAGATTAAAATATTTGATCTTATAAAAAAATTAAATGTAAAAGGAAAGTAAAAAAAACAAAGATTAATTCTCAAAAAAAATTAAAATATTAAGGATGAAATTTAAAAAAAAAAAACCAAAAATGAACAAAGTCAATCTTTGTAAACCTTCAAAATTTATGATCGTTATCATGAGATTGAGACCGACCTCATATAAGACAAATCAAATAAATAACAAAGCAAAATTTTCAAAAACAAAATATTAAGTGATGAAGTTGCAAAAAAACAAATAAAAAAATTTAAAGCCAACTCGGGTTAATCTATTAACCTTATGATCATAAGCAAAGAATTGGAATAACTTAACGTGAAGGAAAGTGGAAACAAAAGTCACAAAAACCAATTCTAAAACAAAATTAAATGTTAGAAGATAATTTTTTTTTAAAAAAAACAAATTTGTAGAAAGACCTAAAAAACCAAAGTCAACTCGTGTTAATCTTTAAAACTCGTGATCTTAATTATGAGATCGAGATTAACTCTATAGAAGGCAAAAAATTAAAAAAAATAAAAACTAAAAAATGATAATAAAAGTAATACACTATGCAATTGATGTAAACAATAATTTTTCTACATCCTTTAGCTTTTCTGTTAATATATATGCAATGAATTTTTAATTTATATTTATTTATTTATTTCATGAAAAAAAACACATTAAGAATACTTATATATATTTTATTTTTATGTTAAAAATTATTTTTATCCAGGGCGAAGCAAAGTTTGCTAGTCCATTCCATTGACACAAATGATGATACCTAGTTTTCAATCCTTCAGTTTTAGAGTAATAGCACTTTAGATCCTTAAAAGAACAAAATCCTCTATAAAAAATATTGAAAGATAAAATTGAAAAATAAAATGCAATAAAAAATGATCTTAAATAAAATAAATATCAATAAAAAAAATAGGGACCATATTCAACATTAAAAAAAAATTGAAATCAAATTTTAAGGATGAAATTGAAAAATAAAATTAATGAAAGGATAAAAAACCAAAATAATAAGGATCAAATTCGATTAAAAAAATAAAATTAAACCAAATGATTAGGATGAAATTGAAGAAAAAGATATATCAAAAGAAGATAATAAAACAAAACAAATAGCAATGAATAAATTAATAAAAAATAAAAGAAATAAAAAACTAATTTCAAATGATGAAACTTTTGTTTTAATTTTTCTTTTTCAAAAAACTAAGGCCTAACAATGAAATCATAAAAAAAATATGCCCAAAAAAAGAATATTAATTTATGTTAACCGTTTAAACTCATGATCTAGGTCCTTAAACTAGAAGCACTATACATAAGAAAAAAAAAGAATTGGGTAGCCACCTAGCAAATTATACGTTGAAAAATAAAATCAAGAAAAAAAAATCAATTACACAAAATGTTCTAAAATACAAAATAATAATTAAAAGAATGAGAGTGAAAATTGAAATAAAAAAAAATTAAAGGAAAACCACGAGTTTTTGATTATACGGTTAAATTGAAAAAAAAATAGTTTTAACAAAAGAAAAAAAGGTTAATGAATAAAGATCAAAACGAAAAAAACAATACATTATAAACTTGAATTGTATAATGAAATTAAAAACTAATAAAACTTTTACAAAATGACCAAGGAAAAAATTAGTAAAACAAATAAAGACCAAATTAAAAAATATAATATATAATAAATTGAAATTGAATTTTTAGATTGAAACAAATAAAAATTCTTCAAAAAACAAGGAAAAAAATCATAAATAAAAGAATAAGGACTAGAATTGAAATATAAACAAAAAAGAGTATCAACTTGTAATTTTCATGAAAGAAGAGAGAAAATAAAAAAAAAACTCATTGGCAACAAATTAGTTAGCTACCGTTGACATGCATCACATTAGAAGAAAAAGAACGCGACAATATTTTTGACAACATAATAAAGTAGTAGTTTCAACCATCCATATGCATGAACGCCATTAACACACTTATGTGTGGCACCATATGCTATTTTTTTAATTTAAATATTAATTAATCATCATAAAAACAAAACAAAATGAGTAGAAATACTAAAAAGCCTATGAAATTAAAGCTTATTTTTTCTTCATTCCAAGGGTAAAGATGTCCTTTTGATTTATTTTCATTATTTTTATTTGCAATTTTTGTCCTTGGACTTTTTATAGGTTTTTTTATTTTTTTTATTTTATCCTTTAATCTAAAATTATTATTTTTTCTTCAATTTTGGTCATAATTCTTCTTATTTCTTGCCTTTTTTGTACAATTTCAATTGTTTTTTATTTCATTATTTGATAAAAAAATTAATTTTTTATTTTTTAATATAGTTCTTATTTTTTTGGTGGTTTCTTGTTTTAATTATTTTGTTAATTTAATTTTTCTCTTTAATATAAACCTTCAATCCAAAATTATCAATCCTTTCATTTTTTAAATTTCATTATCATTCTTTTAATTTTATTTTTTTCTTTTGGATCTTTTTACATAATTGAGTTTTTTTTCAATTTCATCATTTGATGTTTGAGTTATTGAAATTTAGATTCATGGATTTTTTTAGGTTTGGTTCTTTTGATCAAATGGCTCATGTCACAAATTTTATAAGCTAACACAAGTTGATTTTTTTTGGACTTATTTTCTTTTTTCGATCTTATTACTTGATATTGATTTTTCTACAAATAGGCTTTGTGGTTTTCCTCGTTTTTCTTCTATCAGGTTATCTCAATCATATAACCTAATTTTTTAGTTTAACAAGTTAACATGGATGAGCTTACCTCTTTTTTAACTTTTAATTACTCTTTTTTTTTTGGATCTTTTTGTGTGGTTTATTTTTTTTTTAACTTCATCCTTTAATATTTGGTTTATTGAGAATTGAGTTTCATGTTTTTTTCATTTGTGGTGCTTCCTATTAAATGCCCGGGTTATTCAATCTCATAACTTGACATATAGGTTCTATGGGTTGACCTAGGTGGGTTCAGGCTTTATTTTTGGCTTATAATTGCTAATGTGTTTTTTTATCTTTTTGTATGATTGATTTTTTTCTTCTAATTTCATCCTTCAACTTTTGATAATTAAAAATTAGGCTTTGAGTTTTTAAATTTAATATTCTAATCAAAAGATTTGGTTCACAAGCTTAATAGGTTACAATGAATGGATATTGTTTTTGCTCTTTTTGCTTAATTTTTTTTGTTGAGGATTAAGCTTTTTAATTGAATTTGATTTTGAAATTTCACGGGTTATGATTTTTAAAGATTAAGCCAGCTCTAGAATATTTGTCAGAGTTTACTTGGTTTTTAATGTTGTTAAACTAGGGTTGTCTTTCTATGTTATTAAATTAACCAAACTTATTATACCTAACCGACTCAATGATCCAAGTCTTGAAATTTTTTTACATCTTTAGAAATCCTAACATCACCTTAGCTTTGTACTTCTTATGTCCATAAAGATTTGGCTAGTGGTATTGTGTTGGGCACTTATATAAGTTTACTTGAGTCACTTTTTTTTTTTTTTGTTGTAACCCAATTTTAGCCTATTAGTTTAATTTAATTTTTATGGGTTTAAAATAATAAAATTAAAATATAAGATATTTATTTCGATGAAAAATATGATTTATCAACTTATACGGAAACTAGAGACTATAATGTGTTTTTACTATTATATTCTTATCTTTAAAAATAATTTTTATTTTCAAGATAATAATAATTATTTATATTTGAATTTGATTTTAATTCAAACTAAAAAAAATGAGTTGAAATGAAACTTTAATTCTTGCAAGTGATAAACTCTTGTATTATAAATACTAATATAGTGTATGCAGAAAAAAAGAGCTGATTAAAAAAAAAAACTGAAAGTGGAGAAAACCCCAAAAA